CAGGGCCGCGCGGAACCGACATTCCGGACTCTCGGAGACCTCGGGCATGAGAAAACGGAGGCCCAAGGAGACAAGGACCTGGCGCGGGCACCGCAGCGAGTCACGGCAGAGCCGAGACTCGAACCCCAGGCTCCGGGAGGCCGGAGGGGGCGGGGCGCATCCCGCGGCGACGGCGCGCGCGCCCGCCTCTGACCGCGTCCTGAACCCCGGCTCCCGGAGCCCCACAGGGCTGCCGGCCAGGGGCCAGATCGGAAAGCTATGGGTGCGCCCCACACCATCCATGTGACCCGGCTCCGCATTGCTCACAGTGAACCCACGAACCGGCCTGGCTGTCGGCCCCTGGACACCTGTTTCCCACCACCACCGCCTCCGCGCATCTTCTACCACTCCCGGTGCCCTTTCTCCGCGGCCAGCCGACCTTCGGGGCACGTATCCGCTCTTCAGCCTTGCCCTTCACACAGGCGGCACCCTCCGCCTAGAACACCTGTGCGCACCTGTGCCAGCATCCTTCCATGCTCAAACGTCCCAAGACAGCACCCTGTCCTTATCTCCAGAGTCCGAGTCTCTCCTTACAGCCCTATCTCCTGTGACACCTCCCCGCCTGGTCCGAGCACCTGAGTAACAGAGGCCAGCGCAGGGACATACGTGTGTCCAGAGCAGGGCGCCTGGGCTAAGCAGACCCTCAGTAAAGGCCTCGCAATGGGCAGACAACCTTTCTGTGTCCTTCACACCGTGCTGTTCACTTGAACCCTGACAGAGATGAGACAGTAACAGGCAGCACTGAAATTTCCTTGAGCATCTGGAACATAGAAGTCTGTTTACAGCCCCAAACACCAAAAGCCATCAACCACCTTGGGAATGGCCCAGCTCCTTAGAGATGGCAGCAGGTGGTGGCCAGACTCTGTCTCCAGCCTGTGTGCTCCTCTGAAGGGCTTGAGGCTGCTGGATGGGGTTGAGGACCAAGAGGGAGGAGACCAGGGAGCAACCACAGTCCTTTTGGTGAGGATCCACCCTGTTCTTCAGAGGCCAAGGGTTTAGTGGTTGAGAGTGTAGACTTTCCAGTTAGACAGACACTGCCTCTGTCACACCCTCCCTGGATGGTGTTAGACAACCTACATCTCTCTGTATCTCAATTTGCCCATCTCTACGATGGGAGATTACAGAAATAATAACACCTGCCTCATGGGATTTGGGAAGACTCGGACATGGTCTGTGAAAATCTCCTAGCACAGTTCATGGCCAAGGGAAGCTGCTCAATGAATAGTGGTTTTCTGTTACACTATCATTAGCAAGAAGGCTTAGGATACAAATGTATCCCAGGTAATCCTCTGGGAGAGGGATTACCCAGGGATTTAAAAATTTATACATGCTGGGCATCAATGGCTAATGACGTATCTCTTTTGGGAGCAGGGTTTGGAGAGAAGATGAAGCCCTAGGTAAGGGAAGATCCTAGGTTGGAAGTCAGAGACTAAGGTGACAATGCCAGCCCTCCTGACTCCCTGCGTGGCCCTAAACATCTTAATTCTCTACTCTGGGCCTCGGTTTCCCCATCTCTAACCAGAGAAGGGTTAGATTCTGCCATCTCTGAGGCCCTTTCAGTTCCAACATGCCATGTTCATGAGTCGTGAAGGAGTAGATACTGGCCCACTAAGCCAGGCAAGGGACAGGCTTTACTAGGGCACAATGGAAAAGTGCTACCTCGGATGAGATGTTCAAAATGAGCTCACTCTCCTGAGAAGGGGAGCCTTGGCTAATGGGCCCACTCCTGCCCGCAGGACCTGTGGACACAGACAGTGGCAGCAGCCCTGCCCTCACAGCCAGGTCCCCTCTGTCCTCCCAGCAGGCATCCAAATGAAGCCAGGCTGGTCAGTAGCCCACCACAGAGGAGCTGGTCCTCCTCTCCCTCTCCATCCTGCTGCAACCTCTAAGTATAGGGCCCCATCACCCATCACCCTTGGTATCTAGACCAAGGGCGTTCATAATTGACCTCCCTGCTCTAGCCTCCTCCACGCCCAAACCATCCCACACATGGACATAATTAGCTACTACCTACATACCCCCACCCTGCAAAGCCCTCTGTGTCTCCCATCACTCAGATTATAAAGTTCACAAGAGGCCTTCATTGATCACTGTTGGTGGCAGAATGTTTTTTTGGGTGGTGTAAGATCTCCAGGTTGCTCAGAGACACACACTAGCAAAACAGTTCAGCAAAAGATAGAGAGGGCAAGGCAGGGAGAGAACTGAAGCTACTCAGCCAGTACTTGCTAATTGTTGAATATGAGTGATGGGCATATGGGGTGCATTGTTTTTCTTCCTATTTTGTATATTTCAACTGTTCTATGTTAAAAGTGAGTAAATCTTCAGAGCAAATAAAAAGTCCACTGTGGGAGAAAAATCAGTATAGGTTCATATTTGCATAAAGGAATTCTTGAGGGGGGAGGGTATATAGCTCAGGGGTAAAGCACGTGCTCAGCATGCATGAGGTCTTGGGTCCAATCCCCTGTACCTCCATTAAATAAATAAGTGAAAAATTAAACCTAATTACCTCCCCACTCCCCCAAAAAGGAATTCTTGAAGGATCAAGAACACTAATAAAGAGATGACTGTAGGTGGGAACGGGAACTGGGTGGATCAGGGAAAGAAATCGGAGTGAGAATGTTCACTATTACTTTTTAAAAATAAATTTTATTTAGAGCAGTTTTCGAGTTACAGAAAAATTGCGAAGATAACAGAGTTCCCGTATTCCTCACCCAGTTTCCCCTATTATTAACATCTCACATTACTATGGTCCAGTCTTTAATGCACCAATATCGACACATCTTTATTAAGATTCCCTCAGTGTACCCAGTGTCCTTTGTTCCAGGACCCCACCCAGGACACCACGTCACATTTAGTCATCACGTCACTTCTGGCTCCTCTTGGCTGTGACTGTTTCCCAGACCTACCTTGTTTTTCGAGACCGTGACAGTTTTGAGGAATACCAGTTAGGTGTTTTGTAGAGTATTTCTCACTTGAGATTTAGCTGACGTTTTCCTCATGATTAGACTGAGGTTCTGGCTTTTCTCAGAAGGAATATGGCAGAGGTAAAGCCGCATTTTCACGCTATCACGTCAAAGGCAATGCTAGCAACACGATACTGCACTGCTGATGGGGACTTGACCACCTGGTCACTATTACTTTTCATGTTTGATCTTTAAACCAGGGGAATAGAGGACTATATAAAATTAAAAGGCTTAAATCGTAAGACCTGTGCTAGTTTGCAGGGGCTTCCATAATACAAGCTCACAGCATGGAGGGCTTAAACAACAGAAATTTACTTTCTCACAGCTCCGGAGGCGGGAAGTCCCAGATCAAAGTGTCAGCAAGGTTGGGTTCTTTCAAGGCCTCTTCTCGGCCTGCAGACAGCTGCCCTCTCGTCAGCTTGTCATACAGTCCTTCCTCTCTGTGCATGTATCTGTGGGGTCTTTCCCTCTTTCTATAAGGACGTCAGCCGTATTGGATTATGGCCCACCTTTGTGACCTCCATTTAATTTTTTTTAATAGAGGTACTGGGGACTCTTGCACGCTGAGCACACACTCTACCACTCAGCTATACCCTCCTCCCACCTCCATCTAATCTTGATTAACCCTTTGTGTGTGGGAGTGGTAATTAGGTTTATTTATTTATTTTTAGAGGAGGTATTGGAGATTGAACCCAGGACCTCATGCATGCTAAGAATGCACGCTACCACTTGACCTACACCCTCCCCCCTTGGTTACCTCAGTGGTAGAGTGTATGCTTAGCATGCACAGCATGCAGGAAGCCCTGGGTTCAATCCCCAGTACCTTCTCTAAAAATAAATAAGCCTAATTACTCCCCCTAAAAAACACAAAACATAAATTAATCTTTTTAAAAGGACTTATCTCCAAATATCATCACATTCCAAGGTGTCCTAGGGACTAGAACTTCAACATGTGAAACTTGGAGGGATTCAGTTCATCCCTAACAAGACCCTTCGTAGGATCTACCCAACCTACATTTTCAGGTTGCCCTCCAATGCCCCCAGCACCACACACCTAGCTCTGATACCCCCGCCATCCAGAGGCCTGGCCTTCCCCTCCCCCAGATCCTTGTTCATCCACCTCCCTCTGCGAGCAGAAGCCCTTCTGCCAATTTCCCCAAAAAGTGCTACCGGTTCTCGTCACAATTCAAATTATTTCTCTTCTTCTAGGTTTTTCCAGCTTCCCCCAGGAGAACCCATCTCCACCATCTTCTCCCAGACTGCTTAGTCCTGGGTCACTTGTCAAAACCTGCTACTTCAGGGCTGGAAACACACCTGTCTCCCCCAGGAGCCAGCAGACTCATTCAGTTAGTAAGTGTTGACGTTTCTCCTATGTGTCCAGCAGTGGTCCAGGCCCTGGCAGCACAAACTTGAGTAAGGCACACAAGGACCCTTTCCTCATGGAGCTTACGTCTGGTCAGGGAGAAGATGATAAACAAGAACACGAGCAAATAAAATAACTTCAAATGCTGGAAAGCATAATCGAAAATAATAATAAAATCAGATGAATGTGACAGAGACAACTGCTTTTGCCGAAGAAGGTGACATTTGAGTTGAGACCTGAATACTAAGGAGGCAGCCTTCTGGGGCTCCTGGGCAGGGGTGTGTGAAGAAGGAAGAGCAGGTGAGACAGGAATGAATGAAGAAAGGGCAGCTCGGGGCAGCCCAGGGGGGCTGGGAAGGCAGAGCAGGGGAGAATGAAGGGAGGTGAGGTCAGGTTTGGGCTTGTGGGCCCTGAGTCTGGATTTCAGTCTGGGGAGTAGAGAGACCAGATTTATGTTTTCCAGTGCCCAGTGGCCACCATGGGGAGGCTGGCTGACACGTGGCAACGGTAGAGGACTGAGATGGAGATGGCAGACACAGGAACGGGGTCCCATTTGGAATGTGCTTTGAAGGGTGGTGCATGGGAAGGACCAGGCTTCTACCCAGTGCTGAGTGCTGGGGTTCAGAGCATCCTTAGCAAGCAGGAGCCCACAGGTCCAGTGCTGATGCTCTGTGGTCCCTGGCAAGGGCCACGTTTCAGAACTACCTTCCTCTGGCCAGGCTGGGCCTGCACCCTACCCAGCGCTTCATCTGGCACTCCAGACAGACATCAGGCATGGCCTAGGCCTTTTCCCTTCTCTGCCCACTGCCTCTAACTGCTGCCCACCCTGTCCGTTTTCTCCCCCTGCCCCACCCCCACTGGAGCCACCCTCACCTTTTGTATGCCATTCGCCTCCTTATCGCCAAAGGGGTGTTTCTAATGTGAAAATCATATCTGGCCACTGCCCCAGTCAGTGGGACCCTTCAGTGGCTCCCTTCCAGGGGAAGAGGGTAGTTAAACCCCTGAGGACCTGGGCTGTCCCTCCTCAGCGTCGTCTCCCCCTGCTAGACAGCCCCCTCACCTCCACCGCCCCAGGACAACTCCTTCCCCTCCCACTCCGCCCAAAGGCCGCCTCCCACCTCCACGATCCCAGTGTGCCTCCATCTCCCCGCCCCTCGTGTAGGGGTGTGGACAGTGGGAGCCGAGGCTCGTGGTCCGCCCCCACAGTTCCCGGGGAAACCTGTTTCCACAAATGTTGGCTGCGAGCCAGTCACGGTTTCATTCGCTCCTCTGGGGCATTCAAATAGTACTATTTGGTGTCATCAATGTTAGCAAAGAACTTGGTATTCACGCAGCCAGCGATCTG